ATACCTGACCCATTCCCTTCATCTCTTCCTTGTTGTTATTATTATTTTATTATTGTGACCAGGACAGAGTTTCGGTGGGAAGAGGACCGGGTTCCGGAGACGGCCAGGGTCATGGCCCCTCAGCAGCCGGAGGGTATTGGATTTTTCCGCCCAGCAGGGGGGTCGGGGGGCCAGGGTGACATCACATCTAGTCCCAGGGCTGCAGTAAAATGTCACTTAAGAATAATGGGAGCCACCTTCCTCCCCCTGGGACCCTGACCCTCCTCAGGACCGTGCCTGCAGGACAGGGCTCAGGACTTGGGCATCCTTAGGGGGAAACTCTGCTTTTTGGTCACCCGTCTGTCCTCGAGGGAGTTTGCTGATTTTGTTGTTGACTTTGAAGATCAATGTCCCCAAGGAAGTGGTCCCAATTATAGGAGATCCCCCTCCTGGAAGTCCATGCATGGCCTGCCCCTGATGGACCTAGCGGGATACGGTTGTTAGGGGACAGACGGGTGCAGATGGTGGACACGAGGTCCAGGGGACAGTTCTATCAATGGCCCCCGGTGCTGACCCCACAGCCTCCTTCCCAGAAGCCCTGCACCTGCAGCCCTGCCTGGCCTCCGGTCACAGCCTCCGCCACTGTCCTCACAGACCCCCTGTGACCTGCAGGGGACATGCAGGCGGGAAGTCATGTCCCTGAGAGGAGCCAGGTGACCCTGAAGGGGGGACTTCTGGGACCCTGACGCAGACCACATCCCGGGACCCAGGGGGACGAGGATCCTTCCTCCAACCCTAAAATCTGCAAGAACAGGTTCCACTGAGAACCAGGCAGCAGGGACCAGGGGGACCCAGAGTGGCCATGGCCCTGGGGACTGGAGAGTGTGATGTCACCCTGCTGTCCGTCACAGTCAGGAGGGGACCTGGGCGGGGCTCTGGGAACTTCCCTGGGACCCCAATAAAACTGGAGGGCAGGAGGGGCACGCTGTCCCTGTCCTCTCTGAGAGGACCCCTCTGTCCCTTGAGAGTGACCCCTGCCCCTCTCCACCCCTTCAATACGCTCCTGTCTGTCACCCTGAGTGACAAGAGTCGGGTTTGAAGGGACGTCCTCACGCTGCCTCGGTTTCCCTCGCCGTCGCCCTGATCTTGCAACCAACTCAGAAAGATCCAGACACGTCACTCAGAGTGACCGGCTGCGTCTTCCAGAGCCTGGCCTGTCACCAGCCCCCCCCCCCCCGTGGCCGTCCTTGAGCTTGGCTGAGGCCCGGGAGGCCTGAGGAGCTGCTCTTGACCCTCAGGGAGGCCCTGGGTAGAGGCCGGAGGTCTCTTGGAAGCCGTCCTGCAGGGTGGCCAGCTCTGGGCTCACCGGGCACCAGAGCAGGGACAGAGGCCTGCAGGGGGCCGGTGGCGCCCTGTTTCCGACCCGCAGAGCTGGGCAGGATGTGGGGGAGGGGAGGTTCCCGGCAGAGAAGCAGCTTCCGGTGCAGACACAATGGAGATAAGCCCAGAGATGGGGGGGGGGGGCCTCTGCCCGAGTTAGAACTGAAACAAAGTGGTTCATTTCTACACCAGTTCAGAGACCCCCTCCCTGGGGCCAGCAGGTGGGAGGCAGCAGGCAATGTCCCCTGGGATGGAGCCCTGGGACTTGGCAGTTTGTCCTTTGCAGGAAACCTCACGTGGGCCTGCAGGAGCTGCCGAGGCGCCTGCAATCTCAGGTGCCATCTCAAGCCCCAGCGGGGAGCTTTGGCTTCCTCCTCTTAGCACCTCATTCTCTTTAAAGCCGTTCCAAGGTGCAGCTCTGAACCCCCACTGGTGGGTGCACCCTCAGGGCAAACCCCAGGGATTGGGGGTGCAGCTGGAGCCCCCCAGTGGTTAGCAGGCTTGGGCCCTGGGTTCCAGCCCCAGAATAAAATAAAATAAAATCCAAGAAGAAAAAAAGGGGACAGGGGGACTCTGTGACTTTAATCCAAAGGCTCAGGCGACATCAGCTCCTCCCACCTCCTCTGTCGCAGCCCGTCCCCTCCCGAACCCTTCGCCCCCCAAAGTCTGGGAGATTTGCACACGGCCCTGCACCGGCTCCAGTGACCCGGAAGTTCGCCCACTTAGGAGAAGCGCCGGGGGCCTTGTTAATGAGCCCGCAGGGTCACGTGCTTTCAGGGTCGCCTGGGCCCGGGGAGGCTGGAGACCCGGCGTCACCTGTTGGTGCTCAGCTGTCCGTCAAGGAGGGGACCCTGCAGAGCCGCGGGTGCCTGCTGCCACCCAGTGGCCGTCGGCGGAAAGACACGCTCCCGCCTCCGCCCTTGTCTGTGATTGACAGGCCCCTCCTGGGGTGGCCAAGCCGGGTTCCAGGCAATGCAGGGGGCGTCCGGAAGTGCCTGCGTGGCTCCGTATCTGTCGCATGTCCTCCGTGTCTGCAGAGGTTGCGGGCTGGAATCTGGAACTTTTTGTGTCACCTGCGCAGGCAGCCGGGACCAGGATGAAGAGAGCTGGGGGAAACGCAATTCCAAGGATGGTGCACGTTGCGGAAGAGTTTCTCACCTCCACACCGTGCAGAAGGGAGACCTCGTGACTCTGGTCTCCAGGTGCAAAGCTCATCTGTGCAGGTGCAAAGTTCACCTGTATGGGTGCAAAGCTCACCTGAGCAGGTGCATGCACCAGCATCTGTCTGGCTCCACGCCCACCTGAAACAGGTGCTCCAAACAAAAGCTCACCTGCGCAGGTGCAAAGTTCACCTGTAAGGGTGCAAAGCTCACCTGTGTGGGTGCAAAGGTCACCTGAACAGGTGCATGCACCAGCATCTGTCTGTCTCCACGCCCACCTGAAACAGGTGCTCTAAACAAAACCTCACCTGTCCAGGTGCAAAGCTCACCTGACCAGGTGCATGTACCAGCCTCTGTCTCCATGCCCTCCTGAGACAGGTGCCCCAAACAAAAGCTCACCTGTACAGGTGCAAAGCTCACCTGTAAGGGTGTAAAACTCACTTATTCAGGTGCAAAGCTCACCTGAACAGGAGCATGCACCAGCATCTGTCTGGCTCCATGCCCACCTGAAACAGGTGCCCCAAACAAAAGCTCACCTGTGCAGGTGCAAAGCTCACCTGTCCAGGTGCAAAGGTCACCTGAGCAGGTGCATGCACCAGCCTCTGTCTCCATGCCCACCTGAGTCAGGTGCTCCAAACTTAATCTCCATAACTGAAGGAACTCCCTGCGACACCCTCAGAGTTTCCGCGACCTGTCCCCTGTAACAGTGACATGCACACCTCCCTCCCGAGGTCCCCGTCCCTGGGTGGTGTTCTGCTGGAGCCCTGGCCGCCTGGCAGGAGGCTGGGAAGCAGCCCGCCCTGCCGGGTGCAGAGGGGAGACCCGCAGGAGTGGACACAGCAGCGCATTGTTCACCCTGGACCTGGACACACCCCAGCTCTCCGCTGGACCCGGTGATTTAGGGCCCCCTCTGCCCGGCCCCTGGGCGGGCCTGGAGGAAGGGCAGGTGCTGCACAAAGGCTCCCCCCACTTCCCGGCTGCTGGGCGGGAGGAGGACGGCGGCCCCTGCCCCCGCCGACAGGTCCTCTTTCCACTCTCCTTAAAAGCACAACCGCCTTTGATCTGCCCGTCACCCTGTGAAACCTGAGACCTGTTCCTGCCCCTTTGGCTGCGAGGCCAGGGGCCATCTGGTCCTCGGAGCGGGGCGTCTCTGGGAGTGAGTGCAGGGCGGAAGCCAAGGGCCCAGCTGCGGAGGCCCCTCGGCCACGCTGTCCCTTCCTGTCCAGTGCCCAGGGGAGAGGGGGGACACTGTGCCTTTAAGCCCTGGGTGTCCCTCTGTCCCCGACGGCCACCGCTGAAAGTCAGGCACCGTCTGTGGCCCATACGGAGCACACAGAAGGCAGTGTCCACGGTGAGGGTCTCCGGTGAGTGCAGGAAACGGTGGGCTGCGATTATGAAATGCACCACGTGATCATCCAGTATGGATGGCCTTATAGGAGAGGGCATCGATTATAAATGCATGATGCAATTATTAAAAATAATGCAATTATAAATACAGAATGCAATATAAAATATAGTATAATGCAATCATTAAAAAATAATGCAATTATAAAAACATAATGCAATATAAAATGGATAATGCAATCACATAATGCAATGCTAACATATATCTTGCAAATACAAAATGCATACTGTGATCACAAAATATAGAGTGTACTTGTCGAATATGCGATTATAAAATACATAATGCAATTATTTAAAAAAACAATGCAATTATGAAATACTTAATGCAATATAAAATGCATAATGCAATTATTAAAAAAATAATGCGATTATAAAATACATAATGCAATCCTAACATATATGATGCAAATACAAAATGCATACTGTGATTACAAAATATAGAGTGTACTAGTGGAATATGCAATTATAAAATACATAATGCAATTATAAAAATAGATAATGCAATTATTAAAAAATAATGCAATTATAAAATACATAATGCAATTATAAAATACATAATGCGATTATAAAATACATAATGCGATCATATAATGTGATACTAACATATATCATGCAATTACAAAATACATAATGTAATCACAGAATATAGAATGTACTTATGGAATATGCAATTATAAAATACATAATGCAATTATAAAGTACCTAATGCCATTATCAAAAAATAATGCAATTATTTTAAAAATCGTGTAATTATAAAATACATAGTGCAATTATGTGCATTGTGATTTTAAGACACGCAATGTAATAAATGCATGATATATGATCAAGATCATATAACCTAGCATACTGTGCTCATAAATATGCAATGCAATTATGTGACATACATCATGATTATAGAATATATAATGTGGCAGTGTAGGATGCCATGTGGTCATAAACTGCACATGATATTTAAAGATAATTATGTGATATATAATGCGCTTATAAAATAGGTGATTTTTTAAATTTTTTTTTATTCTAGCTCGGGTAATCATTGAATGCACAAGGAGATTGCAGACTCTAGTAACCTCATGACACAGAAATACATATATAAAATGTGCAGTCGTGCAATATTCGATGTAGCTATAGCATCTGGAACGGGGTTAAGTGACGCAAACTGTAACGTGACACAAATGCAACTGCATAACATGCAACGTGCTCGCAGACCACAGAGGGTCCGTCTAACTGCGCAACACACAGTGGGGCCACAGACGCTGATAATCTGGACGCCACAGAACCACGTGATCGTGTGGCCCCTGGCCTCGGGGCCCCCCGTAAATAGAGTATTTTATTTAGAGACAGGGCCTCCCTAGGCTGCTGAGGCTGGCCTCCAACTTGAGATCCTCCTGCCCCGGCCTCCCAAGCTGCTGGGGTGACAGGCGTGAGTCTCTGAGCCCGGGTCACGTGAAGGTTAATGAACGTGTGTGTCCACTTTTCTGCTCCTGGTCGGACATTAGCCACGTCCCTGAGGAGGAAGATAAGTTCTCTTGTCTCCTAGGACCCAGGAGGAGCACCCTCCTGACTCCCACGTCAGGAGTCTCCCCCGCTCTGTTGTATTGTGAAGGCAGAACACACACACTCACTGCGAGTGTGCACAGAAAGGCCTCGTAGAGACCCCCGGGTGTGCACATGGGGATACTGTCGTGCACATGAAGGACGGGCGCATGCACAGGTGGTAGACAGACAGACAGATGGCAGCTGGGTGGACGCATGATGGACAGAGACTCTGTCCTGCAGGTCTCCTCTGCACTGGGGGCCTCTGGGGCTGGGGGCGCTCTGGGGTGGGCTGTGCTGTGCGCTGCAGGAGGTGGAGCAGCCTCTCTGGGCCCCACACACCAGGAGCCAGGAGCAGCCCCACCCAGGGTGTGAGAGCCACCTGGACAGACAGGATGGGTCGATGACAGAGAGATAGATCGATAGATGATTGACAGGTAGGTAGGTGATTGACAGGTAGGTAGATGATGCACACATAGACAGGTAGGTAGACTCGGACAGATGAGTGGACACAGAAGCGGACACTTGGACAGCGGGTGGCCTTGCAGAGGAACCCTGTGGAGGACCTGTGGCCCCGGGGGTGTCCCTGGCTGCACCTGCCCAGAGCTTGTCACACTTGGGGGCCAACTTCTCTGCCACCTGGGAATGCTCTGGAGGCACCGAGGTCTCGGTCCCCGGGTCGGGTCCTCTCGAGGCAAATCGGCCGCTGACCTCCGCGCCCCTCCGGCCCCGCTGTCCGGTCTGTGGCCATCGCTAGCCCATCGGGATGGACACCGAAGACGACCCCTTAAGGGGGGTTCAGCGGACCTCCTGCAGGAACGGCCCCTCCCACTGCCGTGACGTCAGCCTCTCCCCGATCTGGGGGGTCCGGCCCTCGAGGGCCTCAGGGGAAGGGGCCACCAACGTAGGGGGCCTGTCCACACCCCCGGGCCCTCCTGGGCTGTCCCTCCAGGTCCTCCTGGGCTGTCCCCCATGTCCTCCTGGGCTGTCCCCCATGTCCTCCTGGGCTGTCCCTCCAGGTCCTCCTGGGCTGTCCCTCCAGGTCCTCCGGTGCTGACCCCCAGGTCCTCCTGGGCTGTCCCTCCAGGTCCTCCTGGGCTGTCCCCCAGGTCCTCCTGGGCTGTCCCTCCAGGTCCTCCTGGGCTGTCCCCCATGTCCTCCTGGGCTGTCCCTCCAGGTCCTCCTGGGCTGTCCTCCAGGTCCTCCTGGGCTGTCCCCTATGTCCTCCTGGGCTGTCCCTCCAGGTCCTCCTGGGCTGTCCCTCCAGGTCCTCCTGGGCTGTCCCTCCAGGTCCTCCTGGGCTGTCCCTCCAGGTCCTCCTGGGCTGCCCCCCAGCTGCTCCGGGGGCCCCTGCGAACGATGCAGAAAGGAATGACCCCCCCCCCCCAGAGGAGACTTCTCACCCCGAGTTCGTGTTGGCAGCCGCAGGTGGAGACCACCCAGGGGGCGGGCAGCGAGCCCAGAACATTCCGCAGCCAAGTCCCGGGGGCCGCGCCGGCTCAGGGCCAGATCCACGGGGCGGGGGCGGGGGGGGGGACGGGCCACCCCGGTGACAGCCAAGGGGGGGGGTGGACGGACCTGGGGAGGGCAGCGGGGTGGACGCGGATCCTTAGTCCATTTCGCTTTTTATTTCATTTCATTTTTATTTTATCCCATTTTTCATTTTATTTTTATTTCATTTCATTTTCATTTTATTTTTATTTCATTTTTTATTTTATTTTACTTCATTTTTATTTTACTTCATTTTAGTTTATATCATTCTTCATTTCATTTTTATGTTGTTTTTAATTGAATCGAATTGAATTTTTATTTTATTTCATTCTACTTCATCTCATTCTTTACTTCATTTTTTTTTACATTTTATTTTATTTTTATTTTTCATTTTATTTCATTTTTTTTTAATCTGATCTAATTTGATTCTCATCCGTGCGTCTCAGAACTTTGCACAGAGGGATTTTGTCGGAGGATTTGCCCTCTCTCCATGCCCACTAGGAGACTCTCGAAGATTCCTTGGGCTGCACGAGGGTCTGCTCTCTGGGCAACGGCCGGGGTTTTTCTTTTCTTTCTTTTATTTTTTTTATTGAAGGAAATGGAGATGGTAGTGACCAAAACTGCCAGCAACACAGACCTGGTCAGGCTCCACGTTTCTGTCAGAAGGAGAGGGATCCACGGGGCCTGGCCAATGTCCGGGCTCTTTTTCTTATTTGTATTTTTTCCTGTTTTTTCCTTGGGCATGAGCTCAGGGTCCTGGCAGAGAATCTGTCCCCCTTGGAGACGAGTGGACAGGGCACCGACTGACCACCTGTCCTCTGCAGGGACCCTGTGCCCACCCCAGGTCCCCCTCACAGGTCTGGGGTCCAGCTGTGCACAGGACCTGCCTCTCACCATGGTGTCCAGCCCCCTCCAGGGCTCCAGGGGGCTCCTCCTGCCTGTCCAGCTCCTGGGCTCCAGGGGGCCCTGGGCTGGTGGCCCCTTACTGCAGTCTCTGCCTCCGTCTCCACGGGGCTCCTCCTCTGGGCCTGTGTCCCCTCCTCTGTCTCTGGGGAGGACACGGCCATGGCACGAGGGCCCCCTGACCCAGGAGGAGCCCAGCTCAGGACCCTGCACCGACCACCTCTGCAGAGACCCTGTGTCCCCACGAGGTCCCACTCCCAGGTCCTGGTGGCTGGGACATGGACATATCTTTTGAAGGAAGGACCTTACTTAACCCACTAAAATGTCCAGACCCTTTCTCTAAAGAGGATCCTGATCTAAATCGATTCAAAATACACGGAAACCAAGAGCAAATTCAAATCAGGCAAAATGCTCATCAGACATCCGTTTGTGTCTTCCTGCACACACACGCACGCATGTATGCCCAGGTGTCTATTAGGTGCACGTGCATACATGTGGAGACACACACGCGCACCACGGTTCAGATCAGGCAGCCACAACATGCAGCTCGATTAAAAATAAAACAAAACTCCCCCCCTGAGTCGGCTTCGCCTTCATGACCTTCATGACCTCTGGGAAGGTCACGCTGGCCTTGACCCCTGTCCACCCGGCGGCCAAACAGACTCCTGCTTTACAAGTTCACCGAGAAAACAAGAGAGCAGAGCTCAGAGAGGTCAGGACACGGCCCGAGGTCACACAGCACCGCCATCCGGGGACCTTTCTCCCCCCCTCTCCGCTGTTCCAGGGCTGGACACGCCCGGGTTTGCACCCGGGGCTTTTCGGCCCCACCTGCCAGTCATTTCTGCTGCTGATCTCCAGCGATAGCGACTCCTCCGGGGACGAGGAGGGCAGATAGCCATCGGTGACTCACCCCGGCACAGCGCCGCCTGCGCCGTTGGACGAGGGTTTGTTGGAGGAGGGTTTTCGCCGGGCTGCAGAGACCCAGCCTGGGCTGCACCTGCCGGGACGAGCGACCCGCCCAGGGACAACCAAAAGGACGCGCGCCCCTGGCTCGGTGGCAAAGCCACGCCGTGTAGACGGCTCCTGAAACAGCGCGCCCGACCCGTCCGCATGCACGGTTGCTCAGGCAGCAAGCGCTGTCAGGACCGAGCCGGTGATTGACAGCAAGAGAAAGCCCGCCCTTCACGGTGGGCGGAGCCGAGATGCGGGTGGGTCCCGGGGGCCGGGAGGGAGTCGCAGGGGCCCTGCAGAGAGGCATCCAGGCTCAGGGTCCCCTGGGGTCACCGCCGTTCACAAGGGGCCCCCAGGGAAGCGATTCATATGCATTTAATTAATTAAAGCAATTAATATGCATTTCCCCCGACGCAGGTCGCCAATGTGGCCCAGACCGGGCCCCTGGGGAGGAGGTCAGCCATGAAATAGGGGAGCCCAGGCTGCACCCCTAACGCGCGGGTGGCCTGTTGCCTTTTTAAAAATGGGATTCGTCTCCCTGCCCGGGTTGCATGAGAAAAGGTCTAAGGCCCAATGTGTGGAGGGGAAAGTTGAAAGGGGAGGATTTGGGGGGGACACGGGGGGGAGTGGATATTAGGGCACCCTGGATATGCCCTCCCTTCGGTCGTCGTGAGTGGTGGTCCTCAGGGACCCCAGATTGGAGCCCCCCGGGGCCCAGGGGGCTCCGGTGAAGTCCTGATATTTCTCGTGTCCTTGGACATCAGCGTGGATCCCGATGGTGGCCTTGGAGGGGCCACCTCACAGCATCATGTAGGAGTTGTCACTCATCACAAAGGCGAAGTCTCCCAGAAACACCCTGTCTCCACCTTGGGGGGCCTGGGGAGGGAGCTGGGGGGACCCCCCCGGGGCCTCTTCCTCCCCCGTCTGCAGACACGCGGGTCCTGAGCTGGCAGGCGCCTCGGGCTCCGTCTTGAGCAGGTGGATGAGCAGGGCCTCCTCCGGGGGGGTCTCCGGCTCCAGGCCTCCCGCCTTGGCCAGCGGGACCACCACGTTCTGGGTGTCTGCGATCCACGCCTGCCAAGAAGGGACACGGGACTCAGCTCGCAGCACAATCAACCTCTCTGGGCACCGGCGGGGACGCTGTGCTCTGCCATCAGCATCTGGCAAATGGAGGACCATCGCTGCAGAGGGTCTCCCAGGCCCCCCACGCTGGGGCTGGGGAACCCCCAACGTGTATATAAAGAAACAAGGAGTTTTTTTCCTAGTTCATCAGTTACTGGCCCTTTTAATTAGCAGACCCCAGTCACAGAACTTAAGAGGGTAGAAGGAATGATTTCTTCCCTCTCCTGGGTTTCGAGGGCAGGGCCGGGCACCCCTGTCCGGTGGGCAGTGAGGGCACCTGGAAGTTCCCTTGGTGCTGCTCGAAGAGGCCGGGGAACTTGCCCTTCGGGTCCGGGACGCTGGGCACGAGCAGCTTCTTCACTCTGAGATGAGACAGAGAAGCCGGTGAGACGGGCTGGGGCGCGGAGCAGACCTGGGGACACCCCTAAAAGGCACCGCAGTGTCCCCTCCGTGGAAGGACCTGGAAGAAATCCACCTAGACAAGTTGGCGCCTGAGGCGTCTCTGCCGTGTCCACCTGTGACGGCCACCTGACCCTGCCCTGGCCTGGCCTGGCCGGTGGCACCTCGGCCCCAGGTTGAAGGGCGGCCCGGCCTGCTGCTGGGCGTTGCTATGGGAACCGCATCCGAGGAACAGAAATGGTACCTTGGCCATCGGCCCCTGGAACCGTCCCCACCGGGGCCGGGTCAGGGTCAGTCAAGGTAGAAGGGGCCGCGGTGAGTGGGCACAGAGAAGGACCCAAAGGGGAATCGCCCGAGGGAGCAGTTTCGGAAAGGTCCCTGGTCCCCCGCCCCACCCCAGCGATGGCCTGCTGGGTCCTGAGTGGACGGAAACGTGTGCTGGACGGACGGTTCGTCTTGCAACCAGACGGAGCCACCCGGGTCGACAGCTCGGCCAGTTGTGCTGGGGTCACACCCGGGGCTCCTGCACACGGGCCGAGCTGCACGCCCAGCCCCAGGGGCAGCAGAAGCCCCCTGCCCAGCCACCACAGCTTTGGCCATGGACTCGGCCGACCTCGAGTGACCCTCCAATGAGTCTGCCCCCTCTGGGCGGCTCCTGGACACAGCCGTGGGACGCTGGCCGGGACCCTGCGTGTGGGGGACGGCGGGGACGGCGGTGTCCCTACCTCTGCAGTCTCCATAAGGACAGCAGCAGGAGACACAGGGTCAGGAGGGTGACCGAGCTGGAGATGAGGATGAACTTGGGGAACCGCGTGCGGCGAAGACCGGGCTCCTCCTCGCAGGAGTCTGAAACCGAACGGAAGGAGGTCTGTCCATCTGCCCGTCGGTGGTCCGTCTGTCCACCAACCTGTGACCCATCCCTCTCTCTAACCCACCTGTGCCCCGCCCCCAGCCATTGGGTGTCCATCACACCCGTGTCGCCATCTGTGGTCTTGCACATCGTAGCTTCCATACCTTCCCATACATTTGCATATTTTCACTTCGTTTGCATATATTTGCATGTATTTGCATATATTTGTGTGTGTTTGCATAGATTTGCGCAAATTTGCATGCGTTTGCGTATCCTCCTCTCACCTCTGAGCTCCGCCCTCTGCCAGTGCGTCACCTGGGACCAGTCGCTGGGGGTGGCGTGGGGGCCGTACTGGTCCTCGGTGGTTTTCACCCGGGTCCGGAAGCTGTAGCACTTCTGGGTGTCCAACCCTCCGACGGTCACGTTGCACGTCGTCGCTTCCCTGGACTGGGGACAGATCGGATGCCCCCGTTAGGGGCTGGGCCGGGGTCTTTCGCCCTGGAACCTTGTGCGTCCGTGCAGGATGGGAGTCGGTTGGCCTTCCCACGTCCTTCCAGTGCCCTTTGGTGGCCCTCGGGAAGCCACTTGTCGTCTCAGCGTTCTCCTAGCGGGGGATCGTGGAGGGGTCCCACGTGCGCCCGTGTACAGTGGACCCTCCTTCAACCCACGCCTTGCTGTCGCCTCCTGCGCCTGGCACCTTAGTTTCTCAATAAAAGAGGCGATTTACGGGTCAGAAATGGGGCTACGGCTGGGCGCCGTGGAGCTCGCCCACAATCCCAGCCCTGGGGGAGGCTACGGCAGGAGGATGGCAAGCTGGAGGCCAGCCTCAGCAACTTAGTGACGGAGGCTCTGTCTGGAAAGAAAGTTCGATCTGGGGACAGGGATCAGCGGTTAAGGGTCCCTGCGTTCAGTCCCCGGTACCATATTGAGCTACCATTATACGGGTCGACTTTCAGTCGCTGAGCCTCGGGGGTGGGCCTCGTCCGATCAGTTGAAGGGCCTCAGCTGAAAGACGGAGAGCCCACAGAGAGGAAGGACCCTGGCCTCTAGACTGTCCCCCGAGAAACCCTGCCCACAGTGACGACCTGATGGGCTGACCCCATCCGTGCACGAGGCCACCCCTGAAGTCACCTCCAGGCCTGTGGCCCTAGAGATCTGGGTGCGAATACAGGCGTGGGATACGGATGCAGATGGACGGACGGATGGACGGATGGGTGGATGATGGACAGAGATGGCAGACAGACGGGCAGACAGACGGGAACCTGCACATAGGCCCCCGATGCCTTTCCCTGCTGGACGCTGACCACAGACACCAGGGAGGCCGCGTCCCTCGTCCCCCTCCCCCAAGCCGCGTCCTGCTCACCTCCCACTCGGCGTCGAAGCGGCTCCTGTACTGGACCTCGTAGAGGAGGCCCCCGTAGGGCAGGTCGGAGCACGTCACCAGGACGTCCTCCTGCAGCCACCGGAAGTGGACGTCCTTGGGGGAGCCGGGCTTCACTGCCGAGGAGGACCACAGACCTCAGCCCCGGGCGAGGGTCCGGCCGGGGGGTCCCCCGGGGTTGGGCCAGACCCCGTCGCGCCTCCCCGACCCCCGGCTGCAGACGTGCGGGAGTGGACATGTGTCTGTCCCCACGGCATGTCCACTGCAAGTCCTGACCAGGACCCCGAGGACCTGGGCGTCCCCCAGAGGGAAGCCCTCAGTCTGCAAAGTGGTCTGACATCTGTGAGGACCGGACTGGGGTCTGGGCGAGTTCTAGGTCCCCGTCACCCCAGAATGGGACCTGGTGTGGGAACAGGGTCTCTGCAGAGGTCGTCAGTGGAGGGTCCTGAGCTGGGCTCCTCCTGGGGCAGGGGGCCCTCGTGCCATGGCCGTGTCCTCCCAAGGGACAGAGGAGGGGACACAGACCCAGAGGAGGCTGAGGCAGGAGGATGGCCAGTTGGAGGCCAGCCTCAGCAATTCCGTGAGGCCCTGAGCGACTCGGCCAAAGATAAAAAATGAGAAGGTCAAGGGTCCCTGGGTTCAACGTGCCCAGCTGGGGGTCAGGGGGCGTCCCCTGGGGACTGGACGGTGGCCTCGCTCCTGGGCACTTACAGTAGTCGCTCAGCCACTGGCTCCTGGAGACGAGGAGGCGGCTCCCGTTTCTGATGGAGAAGTAGAGGATGTCGTCGCGCGCGGCCAGCAGGCACCCGGACGTGTGGCCTCGCCAAAGCGTGTAGTTGGTGCAGGGGCGGTGACCCGCGCCCCGCGTGAACCTGCACGGGGGACGGGGACACTCAGCCAGCGAGCAGCTCGGCCTCCGCCCAGGAGTGGCCGGCCTCGGACTCCACGTGGGCACCTCGTCCTCCCCTGGTGTCATGGCCGTGTCCTCCCAAGGGACAGAGGAGGGGACACAGGCACAGAGGAGGAGCCCCGTGGAGACGGGAGCGAGGGGCCACCCGCCCAGGGCCACCTGGAGCCCAGGAGCTGGACAGGCAGGAGGAGCCTCCGTGGAGGCTGGGCAGGGAGGCCGGGACCCGGGTCCTCGAGGCCGGGAGGGAGAGCTGCGTGGGTGGGGCACTTGCTGTGACAGTCCCCAGGTGCTGTGCGACCGCGCAGGCAACGCGCGTTATCGGGGCTGAGCCTGATCCGATCTTCTCTCTGTGGCTTCCTCGCTCCGGTCCCCTGCGAGTCTAGCCTCTGCCTCAGGGCTAACCTCCACCTTGCGATCCCCCCCCCCCCGTGACCCCCTGGGAGACCCAGAACGGTCCCCTCCCTGTTCCTTCAGCCGCGGGACCTCGCCGCGGCTCTGCCTCTTCCCCTTAATCTGCGGCGCCATCAGCCTGGGAACAGCCCCGTCCCCTGTTCTCAGAAATCAGCCGAGATCCTCGGAAAGACCCGACCCCCACGTCGCCACCCCCGTCCCCCGTGTCCCCCGTGGCGGACGCTCTGAAGCCGGGAGAGGCTCAGGGCAGGGGCCACGGCCAGCTGAGGTCCGCGGGCGCCAGGATTTCTGGCCCAAGGGAGACAGTTCCCACCCCAGGGACACGGGGCTCTGCGCCCAGGACACTCACGTGTAGAAGAAGGTCAGGTTCGTCCCCGGGTGTCCAGTCGCGTTCCAAGTGACCTGCACCGTTTCGAAGTTGAAGCAGGTGATGTGAACCTGCAGCCCTTCTCCTGGGAAGGGACAGAAAGAGGCCACTAAAGCACATTCCGAGCCCAGGTTGAAAAGAGTTCGGAACACACGGAGCCATGGCAGCCTTCTTGTCCTATGAGGACGCAGGCGCAGCCAAGATTTTTTTTTTTTTTTTTTTTTTTACAAAGTTAGTCCTTCTGGTTGTCCCCCCACCCCCCAGGTCTGCAGCTTGTCTTTCTGAGGTTTCACTCACACCCATCCACAGGAGTCTAAAAAAAAAAAAAAATGAAGTGAAAATTCTAAAAGTCAAAGAAAAAATTGGTTTTCAGAATGATTCTGTTACTGCGTCGACTTATCCTGAGTCTGTTTCGTTACTAGTTGTCGGGGTTGAGCTGTCAGTGCAGCTGGGCACGGCGTGAGGCGCACAGGACCCGCCACCCGACGGCCCTGGAGAAGGGGGTCTGTCCCGTTAGAGATGAACGCAAACGTCCACCCAAGACGGGCAGCTGGGGAACCTGGTGCGCCCCGGACCTGAAGGCCACCCCCGCCCGCCCCGGGGATCTGGAGTTCCAGGGGGTTCACGGCTGGGCCCTGGGCCACGACCGAGTCCCCCTTCAGACCTTGGGGGAAATGTCAAGCCGCCGCGGCCCGAAAGCCGCACCCAGAAAGTACAAGTGGCCTTGTGGCTGGCACTTCCCCAGCCCTGGTGACTCAGCCGCCGAGACGGAGGCCCTGGCTCGACAGAGAAGCACGAGGCCGGGGTTCCTGCTGCTGAGGCTCAGTGACCCTGGGGAGGCAGGTCCGGGCTCCCACCTCAGCCCCGGGTCCGCCCTTTTTCAGGGTTGAGTTGTATTCCACGACAGAGAGAGATGCCTCGATTTCTGATGCCAAATGGGTTTTTCTTTCTCTCCGGCCGCCTGCGGGGAGAGCGTCTGGGGGTGCAGCCGTTTTTCTGTCCGATTTCATTCCCTGAACGGTGCCCCAAACACGCCTGCCGCTCCCGCCATCCATGTAAAACGTCCTTAGCGTTGCTCAGGAGGGAGGAGGGAGACAGAGACGGAGGGAGACAGAGAGACAGAGAGAGAACCCTGGGGGGCTGATTTCCATTCTGCATCAACTCTGGGTGCGTGCCCTCAAGATCCCCAGCCGCACCCTCCGAGCACCGTGGAAAACACTGCTGCCATCAACAAGCTAAGGCGCTCAGAAAAAAACAAAAATAGTGGCCGGTTGGACTCCTCTGAGGTCCCCGAAGAGTCCCATTTGCAGAGATGGAGGGAGCCGCACTTCCCCCCCCCCCCCAGGGCCGTGGGGAAGAACCGCCCCTTGTTTGCTCAGCGGGGCCAGAGTTTCGGGTTTGCAAGATAAGAAACGAGTTCTGGAAACTGATAGTGGCCTCCAACGTGCTTCCTGCCCCTTCAACGGCCTCGAGAAGACGCTCTCGGAGGAACCTCTGAGGCGATGATGTGGGTTCAAGCAAGTTCACTTGGGCTAGGGAATTGGGGAGGCTGAGGCAGGAGGATGGGGAGGTGGAGGCCAGCCTCAGCAACTTAGGGAGACCCTGCCTGTAAATAAAAAAATAAATTAAAAAATTAAAGGGGCTGGGGACGTGGCTCCGTGGCTAAGCGCCTCCCTGGGCTCAGTTCCTGGTACCAAAAAAAAAAAAATTGTATTTTTATGGAATTTGATTTTTTGAAGTCTTGTGGCCCCACTCGGGACGTCAGGCTCCCTGTGTTGACCAAGGGTCAACGTGAGCTTTGTGGCCTTGCGTGGGCTTCGCATGACGGACCTCACGGTCTGAAGACGTCTGGGCGACATGCTAACGGTCACGTCTTGGGATCGATGCAAGGCGGTCATTTTTCTCATCGTGGAGTATTACTCAGCCATGAAAAGGGACGGAGCTCTGACTCCGGGTGTAACGGGGACGGACCCCGATGGCATGACACACAGGGACACAGGCCAGCCCTGAAGGTCACCTGTGCTCTAAAGGTGGGACTTTCCTGCTTCTCCTTCATCTTGTTGTCCTGGCTCCCAGCCTCTCCCCCACCCTGAGGGACACAGCCTCGGCCTCCTGAGGCCGCCGAGCCTCCTCCCAGTGCCTCCGCCGGAAACTTCCAATGGCTTCAGGTTCCAAACCTAATATTGTCCCTTGGGCATGTTGGAGATGTCAAGCTGATGGAAATGGAGGGCCAGCGGCCTCACGAAGACCCCTCGGACCCCCACCTGCTGCTGCGACTCCGCGTGACCCACTTTCTCAATTTCCCTCTTTTTTCTTTTTCTGTTTTGGTGACAGGGACGGAGCCCCGTCCCCAGCCCTGATGATATCTTATTTAGAGTCGGGGTCTCACTACGTGGCTGAGGCTGGCCTCCAATGTGCGATCCTCCTGCCCCAGCCTCCCGAGCGGCTGGGATGGCAGGAGACCCCCATAGTGTATACAGCAGGTGTCCAAAAGCTCCGCTGAATCCCATCAGCAACTTCCCAGGTCGGCAGCGGAGACCTTGTTGCTGGGGGCCTCCTTAAGTTCCGGAGGCTGGCCTCCCACGTGCCAGCCTCCTGCCTCAGCCTCCTGAATCCTCCTCCGGCTCTTCGGAAGCACCGAGTGCAAACCCGTTTCAGACCCCAACGCACGACCCCGGCTCCACCGCAGCCCCCGCGAGACAAGAGGCGAGAAGACAAACCACAAAGCATCAAACCAGCGAACCAAAAAACAGCGACGTCGGCGTTTTCTAAGAAGTTACTAGAAAGCCCTGGAGCCGGGGGCCAGCGTCCTGTGACGGGGGCCACTGCCCGGAGGCCGTGCTCCGGGGAAACTGAGGAGCGAGGCCAGGAGGGCGTGGGAGATGCCTCGGGAGGCCGAGGCAGGAGGACGGCCCGGTGGAGGCCGGCCTCAGCAGAAGCAACACCCTGTCTCTGAATAGCAGAAGAAACAGGGCGCAGCGGCCCCGTCCCCTCTGGGGGACAGGAAGGAGAGCCAAAGGGGGGACAGAACCCGAGAGAACCCGCGGCTCCGGAGCCTCTCACCCGCGGCTCCTGCTGCGTCCCGCGAGGCCACCAGGTCTCCCAGCAGCAGGACGGTGGCCGCGGCCCAGGGCCGGAGCTGCTGCCTCATGCTTGCGAGAAAGGGGACAGGGGCCAGGGACAGGCAGCCCCAAGTGTCACCTCCCGAGTGAGCGGCAGAGGCCACCGTTTAAAGGCGCCGAAAGGGAACTGGTTGCTCGCAGGAAGCAGGCTCAGTCACCCTGGATGCTCAGCCGCCGCGGGGGACGGATGGCCCCTGTCAGAGCCTGGCGTCATCGTCATCGCCCGGGGGTGGGGACGGTGGCCGACCCCAGGCACGGGGGGGGGGGGGGGGCTGCGGGAACAGGGAGGCTGGCAGGACGCGGGGCATCCCAGGGGCTGGGGAGGCTGAGGCAGGAGGATCGGGAGCTCAAAGCCAGCCTCAGCCAAAGGGAGGCTGTAAGCAGCTCACCAGGGACGGAGGCTGGGGACCTGAGGAGTCTGGTAAAGTGACTCGTCCCAGGTGACATTGCAGAGGTATCGGGAGCTCAAAGGCAGGAGCCCCAGACGGGCCACCAGAGGACACTGTGTGTCCAGCACGACTGGACTCTACGGAGTGCGCAGTGACCTCAGCCCAAGTGACCCCCAGGGCCCCGGGGGACCTGCACTGAGAAGGGCCCCGGGCTGCAGGGCAGGGACACGGGACCACGTGGAGAGCCACCGGGTCCCGGCTGTGGCCAAGGCACCGAGAATTCAAGGGAAAAGGAGGCCGCGGGGAGAAGAGGGACACACTGACCTCGGGTGGCCCACGGGGACAGGGGACACTCAGGGCGCCGAGGTCCCTGCGGGGAGTCCCCCCCAGCATGCGTCCTGCCGAGGCCCAAGTTCAAGCAGAAGAAGTGGAGGCCCTTCCAGGCTCCTGGCCTCTACCCCAGGGCCTCCAGGTCGGGCCTCCCATTTCTTGTTCTGCCTCCGCCTCCCTCTTGTGAGGACCCTGAGGTGACACCTAGGACCCAGCTGCACTGGCCGGGCCACCCGCTCATCTCCAGACCCCGAGGTCGTTCCATCACACCAGGGACCCTCCGGGCACCCCGGCCAAGGAGCTGGGCTCAGGTCGTGCCCAGGGCTTGGGGCAGGGGACAGAGAATCCACGTGGGGACGAGGACCCGGCCAAGCCTGTCGGAGGAAGGCGGGGGAGGGGTGGGGGCTGGGACCACGGCCACCGCCCTCCACAGGGCTCAGGGCGCTGCTCTGAGCAGGGACCCAGAGGGACGAGCCGGGGACGCCCTGGTGGCCCTGACCACGTGTCCCCAGGCTGCTGGCTCCACCTTGGTGACATTGCCCATGACTCCTGGTCCTGGGGGCTCTGGCTCCAGACACCGCCCCCTGGGGTCACCAGCAAAAATGTCCCCAGACATTGCCAGGGTCCCCCGCCCGGGGTTGTGAACTCCTGTGATTGACAGATGATTGACAGATTGATTGACAGACGGCAGCTGGGTGGACAGATGATGGACAGAGACTCTGTCCTGCAGGTCTCCTGGGCACCGGGGGCCTCTGGGGCTGGGGGTGCTCTGGGGTGGGCTGTGCTGTGCGCTGCAGGAGGTGGAGCAGCCTCTCTGGGCCCCACACACCAGGAGCCAGGAGCAGCCCCACCCAGGGTGTGAGAGAGCCACAACTGTCCCCAGGATTTCCACAACGTCCCCTGGGGGTGGGGTCACCCTCCTGCGTCCCTCCTCGTGCTGTCCAGGGGAAAGGACCAGCTCCTAGCTCCCGGATGAGACCCCCCACCTGGAGCGGTCACTTCAGGAATTTTACGAGAGAATGAAGAAAATGGAAAAAAAATGCCCGAGAAGGTCAGGGTCCCCGCCAAGCGTCAGCCGGCTGTTTGTGACACTGGGACGTGGGATCTGGTGACATTCCTGCTTGCGGAGCACAGTCACGGAGTCTCAGGGCTCCGTGGGGCCATTGCAGGAAGAAGAGCCTGTGTTCAGGGTGGACCCCGGAGGCACCTGTCCTCTGCTGGTCTTGAGAAGCTCCGGGTGCTCTTTGCTGGACGGTCACCCGAGAGCTCCCAGGGCCTGGGTCCTTAGGAGGGACAGTGACTCATGGGAGTGAGGACAAGTCCCTCCCTCCTGGATGACCTTTAGAGAATGTCAAAGGTCACGAGTCCCCGGGGACGTGACACACACCCTCCTGGTCCTCGTGGTCCATGCAAACCACAACCCTGACCACGCTGCGCAGCCTGACTCAGGACCCGGCGTCATCGGGAAGGGCAGGGACCGGGGGCCTAGGGCAGGGACGGCTGCGTCCCTCCAGCAGAAGGCCAGCAGCCAGAGTGTGGCCACGGGGCTCCTGGGGTGGGCGGAACTGTCCAGGCTCCCACGGAGGGTCAGGGTGGCCCCCAAGTCGGAGCAGGAAGGAAGGTTTCCAGAAGTAACTCAGGTGCTACCTGAGGGTCACTGTCACCCACGGCAGAGGGTGGGTGGGTGGAGGGTGCTGGGTGGATGGATTTGTGGCTTAGGGCCTTGCTACATTGCTGAGGCCGGCCTCCACCTTGCCATCCTCCTGCCTCAGCCTCCGCAGCCACTGGGATCACAGGCGGGCACCACCGCGTCCAGCTCCACATGAGACTTTAAATAATTTTGTGCCTAAAACACAGTTTTGGGGTCTGGGGGGTTTCCCAAAATGTGGTTTGGATGTGACATGTCCCCCTTTAGGTCACGTGAGAGACCACACAGGAAGGTTTGAGTGGACATGAGTGGGTTAGCAGAGGTGTAGACTCATAGTGGATTAATCCACTTGGATGGACTCACTGGGTGGTGACGGCAGCAGGTGTGGTGTGGCTGGAGGAGGGGGTCCCTGGGCTGTGCCTTTGAAGACGGACAGACAGAATGTTCTAGAAGGTCCACACACACCTGGAGGGTGGGAGGTGACAGGTGGCCATGGGGAGGGACAGACAGAATGTTCTAGAAGGTCCACACACACCTGGAGGGTGGGCTGGTGACAGGTGGCCATGGGGAGGGACAGACAGAATGTTCTAGAAGGTCCACACACACCTGGAGGGTGACTGGTGACAGGTGGCCATGGGGAGGGACACACAGAATGTTCTAGAAGGTCCACACACACCTGGAGGGTGGGGGGTGACAGGTGGCCATGGATAGGGACAGACAGAATGTTCTAGAAGGTCCACACACACCTGGAGGGTGGGAGGTGACAGGTGGCCATGATGGAGGGACAGACAGAATGTTCTAGAAGGTCCACACACACCTGGAGGGTGGGCTGGTGACAGGTGGCCATGGGGAGGGACAGACAGAATGTTCTAGAAGGTCCACACACACCTGGAGGGTGACTGGTGACAGGTGGCCATGGGGAGGGACAGACAGAATGTTCTAGAAGGTCCACACACACCTGGAGGGTGGGGGGTGACAGGTGGCCATGGATAGGGACAGACAGAATGTTCTAGAAGGTCCACACACACCTGGAGGGTGGGAGGTGACAGGTGGCCATGATGGAGGGACAGACAGAATGTTCTAGAAGGTCCACACACACGTGGAGGGTGGGCTGGTGACAGGTGGCCATGGGGAGGGACAGACAGAATGTTCTAGAAGGTCCACACACACCTGGAGGGTGGGAGGTGACAGGTGGCCATGGGGAGGGACAGACAGAATGTTCTAGAAGGTCCTCACACACACCTGGAGGGTGGCTGGTGACAGGTGGCCATGGGGAGGGACACACAGAATGTTCTAGAAGGTCCACACACACACCAGGAGGGTGGGAGGTGACAGGTGGCCATGGGGAGGGACAGACAGAATGTTCTAGAAGGTCCACACACACCTGGAGGGTGGCTGGTGACAGGTGGCCATGATGGAGGGACACACAGAATGTTCTAGAAGGTCCACACACACACACCTGGAGGGTGGCTGGTGACAGGTGGCCATGGGGAGGGACACACAGAATGTTCTAGAAGGTCCACACACACCTGGAGGGTGGGAGGTGACAGGTGGCCATGGGGAGGGACAGACAGAATGTTCTAGAAGGTCCTCACACACACCTGGAGGGTGGCTGGTGACAGGTGGCCATGGGGAGGGACAGACAGAATGTTCTAGAAGGTCCACACACACACCAGGAGGGTGGGGGGTGACAGGTGGCCATGGGGAGGGACAGACAGGATATTCTAGAAGGTCCACACACACCTGGAGGGTGGCTGGTGACAGGTGGCCATGGGGAAGGACAGACAGAATGTTCTAGAAGGTCCACACACACCTGGAGGGTGGCTGGTGACAGGTGGCCATGGGGAGGGACACACAGAATGTTCTAGAAGGTCCTCACACACACCTGGAGGGTGGCTGGTGACAGGTGGCCATGGGGAGGGACAGACAGAAGGTTCTAGAAGGTCCACACACACCTGGAGGGTGGCTGGTGACAGGTGGCCATGGGGAGGGACAGACAGAATGTTCTAGAAGGTCCACACACACCTGGAGGGTGGGAGGTGACAGGTGGCCATGGGGAGGGACACACAGAATGTTCTAGAAGGTCCTCACACACACCTGGAGGGTGGCTGGTGACAGGTGGCCATGGGGAGGGACAGACAGAATGTTCTAGAAGGTCCACACACACCTGGAGGGTGGCTGGTGACAGGTGGCCATGGGGAGGGACACACAGAATGTTCTAGAAGGTCCACACACACACACCTGGAGGGTGGCTGGTGACAGGTGGCCATGGATAGGGACAGACAAAATGTTCTAGAAGGTCCACACACACACACCTGGAGGGTGGGAGGTGACAGGTGGCCATGGGGAGGGACAGACAGAAGGTTCTAGAAGGTCCACACACACCTGGAGGGTGGCTGGTGACAGGTGGCCATGATGAGGGACACACAGAATGTTCTAGAAGGTCCTCACACACCTGGAGGGTGGCTGGTGACAGGTGGCCATGGGGAGGGACAGACAGAAGGTTCTAGAAGGTCCTCACACACACCTGGAGGGTGGCTGGTGACAGGTGGCCATGGGGAGGGACAGACAGAAGGTTCTAGAAGGTCCTCACACACACCTGGAGGGTGGCTGCTGACAGGTGGCCATGATGGAGGGACACACAGAATGTTCTAGAAGGTCCACACACACACACCTGGAGGGTGGCTGGTGACAGGTGGCCATGGGGAGGGACACACAGAATGTTCTAGAAGGTCCTCACACACACCTGGAGGGTGGGCTGGTGACAGGT